TTTTGATGAATATTATTAAAATTATAGCTGGGATGATAATCATGGATACTGTGCACATGACCAGACACACACGTGCATATGTGAAGGACTCCACGGGCTGCTTTCAGAGGCATTTTCTGGAATCTTCCTGTATTTTTGCCTCAGATTTATGGTTGGTGGGACATTTCTAAATCTGCTGTGTTAAAAAGTTGCCTGGCCGTTAATAACTAAAACACTTCCTTATAAGTTAAAGGTAAGAATGTTGCACTCCAACAGAAACATGGGCAGAAAACCAATTTCCTGAAAAAACAAACACAAATGACAAAAAAAAGAAAGAAAGAAAGGAAAGTGTTTACATTCAAAGATAATTTAAAAAGCATTAAAGGGAATTAAAATGAACTTCCAGGGAATTCCCTGGTGGTCCAGCGGTTAGGACTCTCCGCGCTTCCACTGCAGGGGGCACAGGTTCAATTCCTCGTCAGAGAACTAAGATCTCGCATGCCATGGGGTGTGGCCAAAATTTTTTTTTTAACTCATAGAAAACAAATAAACAAATAAAATGAACTTCCATTTTCACCTATCAAATACAACTAACAACCAGTGACAGCTGTACTTACGGGGATGTAAATTAAATTGGTACGAACTTTTCAGGTACAAACTTTCCGGAAAAGTAATCTGACAATACGTACCAACAGAGTTAAAATACAAATGCTAAGAAATGTAAGTATTAGTAAATGTAAAGTAAAACTAAGATTTGTATCTGTTAAGCCGGCAGCTCCATTTCCAATTCACCTATTCTAAAGAGATATTCAGAGGCATATAAATATGTATTTACATAAAGCTTATGGCATTATTTATGTTAGTGGAAGAATAGTAAAAATAAAAACCCGAAAAGCCATATGCCCGACCAAGCAGAGAAGGTAAAACGAGGCGCCCACGGGAGGCGGTGCCGCGCTATTCAGAATATCTTAGAAGAAGTTCCAGCGACAAGGGAAGAGGCTCAGCGAAAGCTGGCACCACACGGGGCGACAGGACCAAGCTACGTTAAAGTTACACAGAAAACTGATCAAGTTAATGCATTAGTCACCTTCAGGCAGAAAACAAAACTCACTGCTGACTATTCAAAATAAGAGAAAAGCCAATTCGCGTAGACACTGCTGATATTCAAGTCAGAAAAACGTATCAGGACCAGCTAATACTTCGAACCGCTACACAGCTCAGATTTCCCGCAGCTAAAACTAACACAGGTGTTTCTTTCTTTTTTTTTTTTTTTTTTTTTTTTTTTTTTT